CATTCAGTTCAAGGTTATATTTATATTTATTTATTTATTTATATCAAATGGCAGGCATCTTGATGGTTATCATTAGCCCTTTAGTTGACTTCAGGCTTCACAGAGGGGAAGGAACATCAAATTGAAAAAAATTCGAGAGGGGGGGGGACAGAAGAGTGTTTCAAAGACGTAAGAGACAAACACAAAGGTAGAACAAAAGTGAGGTGATTACTGTGGAAATAGTCGAATAGGGCATAGAGTGAGGTGATGGTTGTTTGAAATGAGAAGTCAACTGCCAGTCAATAGACTTTTTTGCCGTATGAATATACGTTGCCCAGGGTGCACCACGAGGAGGTAAGTCTATCGCGCACCCCTTCGTGCAATATTGATCTGACAATTATACCGATTAGCAGCTACCCGTTATTGTGGAAGTGCACAGAGAGTAGGAGTGGAATCATTCATATGCATTTTTACAAGGGAACATATTAGGTGCATTTAATGTGATGGGATAGAACTAGTATTTCTTCTTGTGCTAGGAGTTCTAATAATCCAACATCTTTTTACAAGTCTGCTTGCATTCTTTCTTGCTGCATATAATGTTCTGTTAAATATAAATGTAATTCATGTAAAGCACAAGCTTTATTTATTTAGTAAAGGCAAATTCAAGCTATATTGTTAGTAGTTAAAGTTGTATAGTATCTTATATGAACATCCGATCTTTTGTTTATTTAAATTAAACATGCTATTCAGTTGGCAAAATGCCTAGTCCGAAACCAATAATTCGTGGTCTGTGGTGTGTTGGATTATTAAAAAAGACCGTTTAATGTAAATTCAATCGAATTTTATAAAATATAACTTCTTAGGCATGATTTTGACATAGATGTAAGCAATTTTTTAAAAACAAACATTTAATGATGGAAGGGGTTGGTGGGAGGAGGAGAGTTTAGAAAGCTCCAATTCAAGAAATTTACGTTCGCCTTGATTGAATTGTAATTATTTCCATTTAGTATTAAGACCTTTTTCATCTATTCAAAAATTACACTGTCTGTTGTTCTTAAGAATGGGTATTTTTCCAATTCCATTTGAACGATCACATAGTCTACGAATTCTTTTAAATACTTCTGAGAGTATGGTCCCATTTTCTAAGTTCAAAAGTTTGTGGAGTTAATTTAAGCTAAGATTTACATTTGCCCACAATTTGTTTTCATATGATTCGATGATACCACTTAACACTACTTGTTATTGAGGTTGGCTCTGGACGTTCTTTAACTTCGGAGATGTCTATGACACTAATCAGGCAAATAATCCAGAATTATATCGGCAATACCGTCACAGATGCTCTCAAATAGTTTATCTTTTAATTAGTTACATGTTAGGGTGTATCAAAGGAAGATTTTAAGGTAATTTCAAAATTTGCCAATCGTAAATTTAACGAAATCGATCTAACGATCACACTCATTCCTTCCAGAATTTCACTGTTTACTGGAAAGATAATTTTAAAAGGGAGACGGTCAAGTGTTTTTCGTTATCTATTTACCGTATATGTTCCGGCTATTTATTAAATTGAATCAGAGATAAGTTTCACTTTGAACAAAGTGTGAAAAAATTCGAGAACTTTTATCAAACATTCCAACTATTATAAGCTCTTTTTTAAAGCTTATGCTATAAAGTATTTTTAGTAGCTTTCCGGTAAATATTTACAATTTTATTTAGCAGAACCAGAAGGTTTATGTAGAAAGCAAGGCCATTAATGCGTATAATTTACGAATTCTGCAAGAGGAGAGATTCTTGAAGAAGTAAAAATGAAAATATTCATTATTTGTTGATGTGATGAAAAGCATGAGTCAATGCAGTGCATAAATCACTCAATTTTTTTAGGTCTTGCCAACTTAACTAAGAAAAACACTGCTATATGCGTTATAAGGATGCTTGATTCAAATTCCAAACGGTTTAATTTTGTTGTAAGGTATAATTGTTCAAGTACATTAGTAATGCTAAAAAAGGCTTTCAGACGTCAATCATTTACTTATCCATATATGAGATCTTCTTCTTGTAAAAGTTTCCATAGCCTTAAATCATACAAAAAACTGCCGATTTGGAATAACAAAACGGTACATTATTGGATGCACAATGAATTGCCAAATTGAATTAGACGATGAAGGAAGTGGTACTTGAGCCCAATTTATTTACACAGCCAGTGTAGACTGCTATTAATGGCATTATGAAAAGTACAGTTTAGTTTTAATGATTAGATACTGAGTGTAAGTTTCCATCCATCCGCTCTTCTACTTCGAGGCCTTCCCTACAGCTTCGTCCAAATAGAATTTATAAAATATTAAAATGTTCATAATAGCATTTCTATAGGCAATCAGGTGTTATTTGATTCCTTGTTAAGGAATGAAAAACAGCTTTGGAAAGACCGTTCAAAACATTTCATAAAAGACACAATCCAGTTCAATTTTTTACTCAGCAGTCTACAAATTATGTTTCCTCTTAATTAGATCACACATATCACCATCCTGGTCCAAAAATGAGCGTAAAATTATTTTGATCACGTGATATTAATAATGTTAGAAGTAATGGGTCAAACTGGGGCAATAAAGCACCTCACTATCTGCCATTTGGATGGAACAAAGCAGTTGTAATTTTCCGTTAAGGTCAATAATTATGAATTTCCATTTCTTGAAAGTAGTAACTTAGCAATTTATATTTAGTGCTTTCCTGCTGCAAACATATATCTTTTCGTTGAGTTTCCTTAGTCATTTAACAAGCAACATTTCCGGAAAGCTAGATTTTGTAAGCTTTTGAATTTATAAGCCTTTCGGAATAAAATAGACTGCCCTATCATTTCCCAGTTTCAAGTTATCAGTTAATTAAATTAGCATAAAAATTCGCTTAAACACAAATAGTCCATTAATCATCAATTTCGACTAGCATTAATGTCTTTATAACCGTTGAATTTGCCATAAAAGCTATTTGATACTTAATTTAACACGAAATAAGTTCACTTTAGACTATCATTCTAATTTGCACTAATTCTAGGTTCTAAATAATTTATCCTCCTCATTAAATTCTGACTGGCATAAAAATGTATTAAAATTTACATTTCATTTTTTTCAATCATTTTGCAGTCAATTTATAAGTCATATTTGCAGTATTGTAGATTATGAAGATCCTTTGTATTATCGGTTATTCCTAATTTGTGGTTATTGTTAATTGAAACAGCTCAAAACAGTGATAGTGCCCCGCCATCTACCGATCCCAGAAATATAAAAGTTGAACCATGCATGAATTACACTCGAGTATGCACTTCTTTTGGAAACCTAACAATGATTTCAGAGTGGAGATAAATAAAGGAAACCATTCATAGTGTGATTAGTGTTCTTGCTTCAAATTTTGAACCTCAACACTAATTTTAACGGGCTCTTGAGTAGTTCTTTTCTCAAATTTTTCTGCGGATTACTTTGCGCCCTAAAAATAGAATTCACATCGCAACTTAAATATCACTTTCGCTAAGTAAGGAGATGAAGAGAGGAGATATTCAAAAAGAGGTCAATCTCGAGAGATGAGAAGAAGCAGGGAAAGAAAAAGTTGGGGAGAAGAAAAAAGAGCATAACGAAATCGGAAATAAAGATGAAAAAAATTTGAAATGAGTTACCATGACTGCTGCATTTGATCCGGCTTCCAAAATCCGAAAAACTCAAAGGCCTTAATCCATTGGAAACATGCCTTAGTATTTGCTATCAAAAAAGAACCTCAGCACACCTCAACCGCATTGGCTGCTTAAAATATCGGAAGCCAATAAGTCGAGCATGATTAGTCAGGAAGTGAATTCAACAAGACCCCGAATCCCATTTAGATTCATGCCATTTTGTATTTATTTGGTACTCCTTAAAATAGTTCTGTTTTAACCGCAAATGGAGGTAATATGATAAAAATGGAACACTTGGGTATGATAGATCGGTTTGTTGCCCCACAACTACTTATCAAACCAATTGGACCTTGTATTTCGATTTTCTGTAATTAAAAATATGCATTTCTATAATTCTGCCTAAATGTCTTATAATTCAATTGATTTCAGTTCGCAGTCTTTCGAATGATTTTAAATAGTTCATTTTTAACTCTCCCATTTTGTTTGTTTTAGTTAAATAAATTATATGTTATATGCTAGCTCTGTATTTTTGAAAATATCCATAGCTTTAATTGATACCACAATCAGTCAATTAAAAATTTCAAGCACTTCATATCAGTACATAATTTCGATATTATATTTGAAAATTCACGATTTCTTAGCCAAATTAATGTTTATCCATTAATATTACCTAAACATCATTTGAATTATTTACAAGCTGCCGGAATCTTTCGTTAACATTAATATTTAATTTTAGATAGTAGCACCAACATTGGTAACATTCGATAACTTATCACCAAGGTAGGTGAAATGTCTCTTGTGTGCAAATAAGCCAAGATAAATGATTGGCTCAGTTAAACTATCGATTTGGCGGTTACTCTCAATGAAATAAAATCACACTTTTGCGTTCTTCAGGTGTGCTTTTTTGCAGAATCATCTACGAATCCCTTTAGGCTGTTAGGGGGTATAAAAGAAACGGCACGATAATATGACATCGTTGTTACTCTAATACCAGATATGAGAAATTCGACTCTAATTTTATTTGGATTACTACTTGTCCTCCTTGCTATTTCTTCAGTGGATGGCACGAGCAGACTAAGAAAGCATCACCCACACAATAAAGGTAAGCATCATCATCATCATGTGACTCCGAGAAGCAAACGTGCGGCAAAAGAAGTCCAAAGGAAGGCCGACGAGGAAGGGGTACTTCATAAGCGATCAACCTCCATTGAAAAATACAGTCCTTATTACGAAGGTACACATGTTGCGGATCGTCTGACTCAACAACATGACACCAAACACCCGAAAGGCTTTGATGAAACTAAAGCTCGTCTTGCCGCTGATGTTGCTGTAAGCAAAAAACCTCAAACTTATCTTGAAAGCATTGGGGGTGGCCATGGGGGAAGTAAAGAAGTTCAGAAAAAATTGGCGCAGCAAAGAAAACAAAAAGGCCTCAAATACTACTGAAATCCTTCAAACCTTTTAAGCTCTTACTCTCATTTTGTTCGGATTTTAATGCAACTTGGTGTATCTGAATGTGTAAAATCGCGTAGTTCGTGAAATAAACCTGTTAAATTTACAATTTTTACTCAAATAATTTATTTTTATATTAAATTACTTGATTTTTTGTGCATATATATCTCTTATGGTAAAAAGAGCACTTATGAAAGTAGACACACCAATTGAAACACTTATACCTTTGTATCAACTCGGAAATAAGCTTGTATATGGACACTTGATCATTTTATTTTCAGGTTTATCAAAGGGTGGATTACAAATGAACAGTTGTCGAAGAATGTTAATATTTGAATAGATTTATTACTACTAACTTGAGACTAGCTATACTATTATCCTCATCTTTATTTGGCTTTTTCCGAATACCATTGTTAGGTGCTTGAATCATTTTGAAGCAGGTCTGTCCATTTTTATTTCCTGTAAATTTATTCTAAATGGTTGAAATTGTTTATTTTTATTAATGTTTACTTGTTCAAATGAATCCCACTAATATTAAGCACTTATTTTTGATTTTATGGAATATTAGTTTTGTCGGTTTAGCAGAATAAAAGTGAGAATATTTAAATCGACCTACTGAAATATTATATCTTTAAATGTCTTGCCCCAAATCTTGACTCCCTCAATCCATTGGCCAAAATAACTTTTGGAAATCATGATTACTTAGATACTGCTAATAATAACGGATATTCAGGACAATTAAGTAAATTACCTTTGAGGTGGCTATCTTATCATCATGAAAAATTGCAAATTTTCTTGCGCTCTGCGAAAGGTTAATAGTTCAAATTATTCTTTTCATAAACCAAAGAGAGCTGTGAACCTCGGCACAACTGTAGCACTTAATGTTATCAGTGCCGGTTGCATTGGTCAAATCGACCGAAAAACTGGTCCACTTAACCCTAAATTAAATATTTTTGAGATTTAGTTTGAGCATGGCTTCATATCAGAACTGATTTGGCAAATAATTAAAACAGTACCTGGAATTCTTTGAAGTCTTGATTTGGGTTCTACGATTCCTAACGGCTCATAATCTCCCATCTACTTGTGAAGATTTAGAAAAAAATGCGCATTTATAGGCTTGTAAAGAAAGATATTTCTAAATTTCATTTTAGCAAGTCATATCAATTTCAATAATGAATCACATACTATTAGCTTTATTACCACAGATTGCTTACCTCGAGTTCGAAAACAATTTCGTGCATTTATTGCTTCAAAATAGCTTAGCCATAATTAGTTCACGTGAATATTTTCATTCTAACTTTCGACTGCAACCCAGTGTGATTTAAAGTTTTGCTACAAGACTGACTATTCTCCTGGCCTTAAAATCGTACATTAAGTCAACTAAACTTTGAATTGATCGGATCTAATTCAAGTCGATCATTTTCTTAAAATCTACTTAATCACTTTTTGCTTAGTTTTGATGTTCGCATTAGTCCCAGATTGTCCACGTCTAGCCGTTGATTACGTCACTATTATTGAGCAATACAAATTAGATTTGATTTCTGATCGAATTGTCAGAAGCGTATGTTACCAACGCGTTCTGCCTAACTGACACACAGCTGCGTGCCGCATAGAGATTAAAATTTATGAATTCTAGACGAATTCTGATATTAGTTAAAATTTGCCTAAAATAGGGCAATCTATTGGATTGAATGTAGACTTTTTGCATTCTATTCAATTTAAATATTTATTACTGAAAAAACCAATGCATTTTATTTTGGTTTATTCTTATATTTCAAATAAGTTGGACTAAAACCAGGGCCTAGCATCATGGGTTCATAATAGATAGAGTTTATCGTGGTAAATCACACCAACGAAGCGGGTGCTAACACGCAAGTTGATCTTGCACTAATTCGTGAGATCAGTGCTTATTGATATTTAATTAGGTATGCAGCTGTGTAAACGCCAAGGTCACTCTCGTTCAATATGAATGAGCTTTTTGGCATGAAATCTAGATGTGTTCTCTCTAATCAGGGAAAGTGCTGTTATCATTTGTAGAATGGAATAGGCAAGTGATTTAATAAGTGAAGATATTTTCACTTATATCTGTAAAATTTTAAATTGCTTAGCCTTTTTCTGTGCTTGATTTGGAAAAATTAAAGTTTAAAGATCACTTGGCGGGTAAGATAAAAATGCCCAACAATGACTTCTATTATTATGGTAAATCTTCAATCCAACTGCAACCAATTATATTTATGTTAAAAATTTTCCTAATATTGACTAATTAAGACGATTAGCTTGTTTTGTGCGTGATATTGAGTTCGTTATGAGCAGGGAAATTGGTAAAATTCGATCAATGAAACAAGATCACATACAAATCGCGTGATCTTTGTGTAGCAAGTACTATTCACAAAGCGATATTTTAAATTAAATGTATACAAGCCCTTAATAATTTATTTTTCATGTTAAACTTAAAAAATCAAGACTAGTAGAAAAACGATTTCCTTCAATTTGGACCAAACTTGGCTATAGCTTTTCGGACGAAGTTAAAACTAAAGCTAACGAGATATACTGATTTATGGCAACCAACGAATTCATATATTCCTTCTTACGGGAAGGCAGGAATGTTGTAAATATGTGCAGATATACCATAGTAAGAACAACCCCAATTTTTTTACACTTCAATTATGATTATAGAAAAAGAACTCACTAATTGACAGTGTTTTTCCAATTTGGCAAACAAAATCAAATCGATTTACAAAATTATTGCATAGGGTTAATTATATTTTGTTTTTAGGAAGCAAAATGGATTTGTTGTTCATGTGTACTAACTCATAAGTAAACACGGAAACACAAGGTATTGCACTCATACTGAATTATACTTCTGATATAATTAACAGCTGTTAAATGAACAAAAAGTGTTAAATCTATCAAACACCCTATAGTACCTCCTTTCATCTGACTACCAAAACCCGATTTTTTTGTACTGCCGTCTTTTCTTTCCTAATCTTGTCCCCTCTCCAAACCCTCCGAAATGACTTTTGAGGCTTGATGAACTTGGGTAGATTATAAGTTTTACGAGGGGGTATGAGAAATATTTGGGTGGAGCTATTTAAGTGACTTTGGTTTCGAGATTGTGAATACTTTAGACTATTACCAATTTCAAATGCGATTATATTTCATGTTAGCATGAAAAGATAAAAAAGGAGTTGACCTCACTATTTGAAGCTCAATTATTAATTGGAGTTCACTTTATAATTAGAGGAAACATCACAATTGCTGGTAAAACTAGCTAATTATTGATGTTAGAAAATTAATTACTAACTTTCCCGCATTGTGGTTTATAACAAAAAAAAAATTGAACAAGTATAGTGTCCGTATTTTCACATTTATTTTCTCTCAGATTGAAAATACAATAGTACATAAATTTTGGATATTTCCCTTGTCAAAATGAATGTTAAAGTTTAAGTTTTCATCCTATTTTTACGAAAAGTGGGTTACGCGATAAGCTTACATTTACGTGGTGCACCATAGGCAATGTATACTTATATGGCAAAAGTCTATAAACCAGTAGTTGATTTCTGACTTCAAACTTCCATGACTCGTCTGTATGACATATTTAATCACTTCCCCAGTACTCACCTTACTTTACCTTTCCCTCTACTTTGGTGTCTGTCACTCATACACCTGTGAATCCCTCTTTTGTTACCCTCTCAACATTTTATGACTTTCATTTTTCTCCCCTCAGTAAAGTCTAAAGTCAATTAATGGGCAAATGATAACTATCATAATGACTGCCATTTAATATAAATAAATAACTGCAAATAATGCTTATCATTTGAATTGCTGGAATGAGCTACTATGAATCATTTTTATACTATACATAGGTAGAGTAGATCTTTTGCAATTGCGTAATTCACAATACACACAGTAGGCGGAATATGAAAATCATAAATTTTTCTCATTTATAACATATTTGCGGTGGTTTGTCGTCAACATTTTTTATTGTTTGTAAGATATGAACAAGCTTGGCTATTCAGTATTGGTCTTTAATTATCAATAGGTAGAAATGAAGAAAAATGTTCCGATCTCTCTGAAATTCATCAAACCGATTAATTCTCCTTATGAATACGCATAAAAACAACGTCGATAACTTAAAATGTGCTGACAATTCTCTTTTTGGCATATGGGAAAGTCATGCTTACCATATGAACGTAAAAACCCAAACAAGTTCAATATGTGTTTTCTCGGTCATTTCAACAGCGTGCCAAATTTGACAAACTCCTCCTTGCCCCTGCACTAAATTTGGGACATAAATGTTGGCAATGCCATTACTCTGCTTTTAATTACCAGTAGAGAAGGCGATTTCTCGAGCAACGCATTAAACAACCGATGAACTTCAGTAGATCAAATCAAATTGAATACCATAACTCTAGATGAGTGCTTTCAATTTTGATGTCACTCTTTCTTGCTCCCAATTTTTACCTTCTCAAACATCCAAAAAAGCAATTATTCACTCCTATGCAGATGGAAATCAGATACTTTTTTAGAAAAGCCATTAGTTATCTCTACTGCCTTAAGAAAGCACCTTTCCTATTAAATGGATACAGAATCCGTTGTCTCACCTATTTATTAACAGCTCATTAATGCATTCATTTTATTTATCATTCTTCCGATTGGTATTTCTATAAATTTAGCCCCGTCGTCATGACAATATCCGACTTTCCTCTTACATGGCTTACCTATTTTCTTCCTCTTTCTACCTCCAACATACGGTTAAATGTTTGGCTCTCACCTCATAAGGGCTAAAACTTTGGATATTGATAAAAATGAAGAATTTAAGCATATGTATATATTCTCTTATTTAAATAATTGTTAGTATTAAATGTGAAAGTAATTATATTTTGCCTTAAAATGGTATAGATATTTAAACCGGTTTTCAACATGGGATAAAAATTCCAAGTTCTATATATATATATATATATATATATATATATATATATATATATATAT